TAAAATTGAAAAATTTTGCGACGAGCTCGCTAACTCGTAACATTCGCTATTATTCAGAACATGAATTCTCTCCGTTGCCCAGAAAATTGCGATAAAATTCTTCAAGCCTAAAAAGTAACGTCTATAACAATCGCGATTCAATATCTATTATAAAGATATTCCTAGTGTTATTAACCCCCTTCCCGTGTTTAAAATACGTAATCTTTTCCTATATAATTTATCGGCATAATCGAGAACGTAAACGCGCAACACACCGAGGAGCCACTCGGGCTATCCCCATAAATATCATTTACATACAATACAATAATGCTGGCCGTATATTTACAAATACATACAAAAACACGTAATACTCTCGTATATAATCTGACAATAACTATTTCGCATTTTTCACTCTTCGTGTTTCATCTGTAATCTGCTGCGTATGGACGAATTTTTGCGTTTTATTTGGACGCTACGATAAATTCAGCGAGAAATTAACGCGAGCGATATTACTGACGCTCGGGAAACATCAACTCACTCGTATTAATTCGATACCGCAGAAGACGAACTAATTTCCTGTCAATGTCGATCATTACGCGGTGTTTCTCTGTAACCAGTCGCGAATCGTCGCGTGATTGGTGTTGATCCATCGTATATTAGCTTCCGCTTGCTCCACTGCTTGTTGTATGGTCCGCGTTGCAGTGCCGAGTTCCTCTAAGTGTTCAGTTGCGAATTCCAGTAGCTAAAAAAGTAAACACGAATGAAAATGAAGATAAAGCAAAATTATTTTTTATCAAAATGCAAAATTGTAAGATTTTTGCATAAATTCTTCGACTTTATTACATAGAAATATATGAAGATTTTTTTATGTTTTACTTCAATTATTCGTAAATTTGCTAAATTACTTTCAATTTCACGTTTAACTTACATCTTTCAGTTCGTATTTTGTACTAATTCCTCTGGTTGACGATTTTACGATGTTATTAACGGTTAATAGTGACGTGCCAAAACTGAAAATGACATAAGATTTATATTATATTAAACATTTTTAAGTGAAAAATGTAGTTTAGTCTAATGAAAAAAATATATAATAGTATTTCCGATCTCTCTGTGCGAGATTTTTCATGTTTTTGAAAAGTTTTCTGTCACATACGAATACGTAGCTTTACAAATATACACGAAATAGAGCACTTACTATTCCCTAAGGCGCGGCCATTTATTTCTAAAGTAGTCAAACGCGAGTGGTTGGCCGACAATGTTGCTGGCAACTGATCCGAATACCCGGACAACATCCTGCTTTCTGATCCCCGAATTTTCCGTGATGGTCCAATCCAAATAACGATTAAGCAGCCATATCTCTCTTGTGCATCCCAACGCTTGTAACAGCAAATCCTTCTCTGATCCTACATTGGTCGCTCGATATCGCTGCCAGGCAAAATCCCATTCACTCTGTCCACCCACACGAATGGCCGTGCAATAAACCACCCCTTTTAAATTTGGTGAAATTCTAAAACACAATATTTTTTATAGTAAAATTCTTTAGTGAAATTTAAAATAATACAAACATTTACATGGCTCTAACATCGACAATATAAATTGCATAATTTAACCCTCAGATTATTCTGTGCATTAAAGAATGCAACAACGCGATAAATAATTCTTACGCATAGAATTCGTCTGATTATCTCAATATTACATGATATTTTTACTTACGGATTATTAACATCCGGATTAGGAGTGTCACGCCAATTTTTGAATTGCTGCACGGCGTTTACTACGCAATCCTCGTAGTCAAAGTCGCATGCCCAATTCAGAACGTCGATTCGGGTGAAAACCGTTAGCTGAGGATCTCCCACTTTATCGGTAAAACCGACTTGCTTGTATACGTTATCCAGCAGTTTTAATACGTACAACTAAAAAATATTAGAGATTGTGTTACACTGTTAATCTCATGTTTTTATGCAAATTTTATTCCTCTAACATTTTATTTTACATCTATTTTATAATATACACGTAACATGCAAGACTTTGCATGTTAACTGCTTCCACTTTATCGCAATTTAATATAATATTTTATGTATGTACAGTATTATGGTTTGGCAATTTTTTTCAATAACTTGAGGTACTTAATTCCGCAAAAACCATTTGATAAAACATAATTTTGCAATAATTTTCTGCTGGAATTTGCAATCCAATAAATGAACAAAATTCAGTAACAAAATGTAAACTATACGACAAATAATTGCGCGCAAAGGATTAATTAATTTATATATGTTTTTTAGAAATAATATGCGATTGAAGAAATGCAGCAAAAAAAGATCTGCATCATTGCGCAAAAAATGTTAAACATTAAGTCAAGAAATAGCGAGTTAAATAACTATCACTTCAAAGATTCTCTCGTATATGCTCTTGTCAGAATGCTTCTTTGAGTACTTACTCTGAATTTATCGTAGCCCTGCGTTTTGATTAGCATATCGTTCAAATAGTTTATGGCACTGAAAGCTGCTTTCCAAGGCAAGTACTCGGTTTCATGGGCTAAGTAAGACGTAACATCAAGAGCAATGGTGTAATCGAGTTTACCAGCTCTGGCTAAGTTAAGAGCATCATCGATCAATTGTGCTCGATTGATCGTCGAAATGTCTTTGAAATTTTGTTTATTTAATTGCTTGATTATCATCTGCCAGTTCTCTCTATCATAATTCACTCTGTAGTATCCTGTCAAATAAATAACGTCGTTTCATAATATGTTTCATTGTATTAAATAATTGTGTTAAAAGTTTGATCTTTCATATCAACAAAGTATGCTTTTATCGTAAATATCTATATAATTACCAGTTTCTTGCACGTTGAAAAGTATCCATTGAGACGAATTCACATCCAAATCATTGAGAATGATCGAGCGTTCCGCTTTCATCCATTTCATGGGTTGAGTGTTATCGAAGTTTAATTGCTTCTCACTCGTATAAGTGATGGGTACCCACCATAATGGTTCCGATTTCTCTGTGGTCGTCGTAGTGCCATTACGGAGCAGGAAGCGTTCCTGCGAGAAACAAATGATGCGTGTAATGCGGTTATGAAACATAAATCGTAAATGATTAGTCAATTTCATAATTTTCTATAACATTTATTGCACGTAATTTTTAATTTTATTTAAATAAGGAAACAATATTTATATATTTAGTAAAATAGAATAACAAGTAAAAAATGACTATCAGATCAGTCAGGCTGTATTAGATAATAATCAGATACATCAGCATCTTCAACAAAGTCATCACTGCTTACTTATTAATATTTAATAATTTATTATTTAATTTTTTGTTAACATACCTGCGTTAATGTTACACCGCGGTTCTTGTAATTGCGCGTAACAGTGATCACAGGAAAGCCGGTTTGCAGAGTCCAAGTGTCCATAATTTGTTTAACAGTTACACTCGGATCGAGTACCTTGTCTTTATGAGCTTGTTCGGTCAAAGCGTACCACAAATCGTTTTGTTCGGCACTTTGATAGGCTCTAATAAATACATAGAATTACTCGACATCCTATTATACATGCAAGCTTGCTTGCAAAATTTAATGTGCATTTATGATATCGTAAAAAGGATGGAAAATGTTAAGAATTATAAATTAATTTCTACTTACTTTCCATTCAAATAATTAGTTAAACCCTGCTTGAAAACTTTTGTTGTGAGGAAATGATCCATCATTCTTATTATGGAGGCACCTGAGCAATTTCAATAAATACGGTTACGCTAATTATTTTAGAATAGCGCACATAACGCACATAAATCGTTAAATACCTTTTCCGTACGAAATCTTATCAAATATTTCACTGATTTCATCAGGATGGCCGACTTTAATAGATATAGGATGAGAAGATTCCAAAGCGTCTAAAGCAAATACATTTTGTAGATCGTGGATAACGAATTGTTCGAGGACCTTCCATGACGGTTCTACCTAAACATTTTAAAAATATAAAATTTATATTATAGTACACTCAATAGTAAAGTTTTTAAGCGTGAAATGCTTAAAATGTTTAGTACAGAATTTTTTTGAAATTTGTGATTTAACAAAATTATAATACAGCGATTCTGACGGTGCAGTATATAATTCCGTATTGTATGAACAACATACCGCATCCATGCCAATGTATTCAACATAACTGGCGAACCCCTCGTTCAACCAAAGATCCGTCCACCAACTAGGAGTCACTAAGTTTCCAAACCATTGATGCGCGAGCTCGTGAGATACCACAGTGGCTACCCGCTGTTTGCTACTACTGGTCGATACACCCTCCTGATATAACATTGCTGTCTCCCTAAATTGAAAAAGTTATTATTATTTTAAAATATTATCATTATCCCCGAAGATAAATTTTGGCTAGATAAATAATATCTGTCAAGGCACAAGTAAAGCACATTAATTTATAAAAACTATTTTAATATTTGCATCAATTGCAGACGAAGATATCTGCTCATAAGTGTCATTTAATTTGTTAACTAATATTTATTAGCTGATAAACACATATAGTTAAAAATATTTTTACTATTAAAAAATATATTCTGATATCATTTTCTTAGTTTAATTGGCACAATCATAAAAAGCATATTTAGAATTATTACTTATGACACCTACAATGTATATAAACGTAGCTCACAAAATTCATCGAATAGATCTTATCTCTGTGATTAATCACATCTATTTGGAGAGAAAAATTGCAGAAATGTTTGCTATACATATCTGCCATTCACACTATCTTTTCGAGTACCATCAACAAATCTACATAAACACACTAGATAGCACACTGCGATAACACTAAATTGCTTTTATCTACTTGAAAGCTATCATTTAGCCAAAATTTACTTTTAAACAATAATAATTTTAAATAATAGTGATTTTATCGATAATATTAATAACAAATATAGAATATCTACGCAAAAGCATAAATCTTTTTTATTATAAATCTTGATAATTTTGATCCATTGCAACGTCGAAACTTGTTCGATAACATTTTATTGCAAACATCGTTAGTGCGATATCGTTACCTATAAGTTATCAAGCCCCAATTCTCCATGGCGCCAGCAGAGAAGTCAGGTAGCGCGACCATATCCATCTTCGGCAAAGGAAACTTGATCTTAAAGTAATTCTCAAAATATCCGAGTATCTTCGGTCCAATACTCAAGCTGTACTGCGATTGATTAATGGCATCATGACGCGCCCAAACTCTGAAGTTACCGTCTTCCAATTTGTCCAAGTCGGAAACTATGAAGGCCACCAAATATGTAGACATCGGTACCGAACGTTCGTAATGGTCCCATACATACGTGTGTAAACCGGGTCTAAATATTAAACAATAAAAGTATCTTTTAAAATAACAATTTTTATTTAAACCGATATTTTTCTAAAATTGATATTTCACGAGAAATCAATTTATTTCACTTTATGTATACTATGATTCATTTTTTATTGTCTCTGTTTTGTATTTATTCAATGTAAAAATATTTTTTTTAATTTTCTCAATACTGTGTGTATGAAGTCATAAACTAATATATCAGATTTGAATTGAACTTTATAAAGTGTTTAAACAACCATCACTTTGACTATGTTAAATTAGTGCGAAAGATTAATGTGCTGATTTTGAATCAGATCTATGAAACGGTACAACGGCGCTATGTATAACGTGGAAATGCGACACACATTTACTCACACTGGCATCGGTTCCCCTTTCCTGGGCATATTCGAGATAGACGTCATGTTTCTGGGACGCGCTATGTTGATCTGGAACTTGGCTTTCAAAGCCGGCTCGTCGAAGCACGGGAAAGCACGGCGCGCATCCGTTGGTTGGAACTGAGTCGTAGCGATCCATCTATAATGCAAACCCGAGATACCTTTGGCAAACAGCCGGCAGAAGCCCTTGTTTGAGGCTGTACGTAAGCCAAACAGGCGCCCACAAGACTATTCAAAGGATAATCGCTTGCTTTACCGTCTAAGCAAAATATTTCGCGATCACAAGATCGATTATGACAACATCAAGAATTGAAGGATTCAGCGTAACAATTTTGAAAATCAAAAGAAATTAATTTCAAATGTTGCGATTTTTTAATCTCAATTTTTTAGTTTTTAAATATCCAATTTGAAATTTGAGGTTTTTTAATATCTTGACGTTTAAGTTTATTTGTATAATACAGATATACTTTAAACTTTCGAGTCTTTTAAAACTAAATAAAGCAAAGAGTTAAGTACAGCATTTGCTTGAGATGTAACTGCACATTTAATAATTGAATAAAATACGCGAAGGAACGAATCTAAATTAACACCGGCCAAAGAAACGGCAGCGCGAGGAAATCCTATCACGATGCCATTTACCTCGTTTGATTGCCAACCGTATACGAGCTCCTGTAGAAACCTTGCAGATAGTCGTTCAGATACCCAATAAACTTGAGATGCACCACATACTGCTTGCCCTCTCTTAACGTGTCCGATGTTCTAATTACGTGAAATTGCCTGTCGGTGTCGTTTCTCTGCTCCACGATCCCGATTACCTTAGTCTTGTTAGTGCTAGCCGAGTATTCCCTAATACTAGTAAAGCCTTCATCAATCTTCATGTCGACGGCGTGCAACGTGACATTGTTCGTATCTATCGTCACATTCACGAAAATCTTAACCTGAATAAAACAAAAATATTTTTTCAAAGAGGCGAATTGCATTCAACTTTTTAAAGGCTTTTTTCAAAGGCTATAAAATTCTAAGTATCACACTCTTATGATATGAAGAAAATCGATGTGATTAATAAAAAATTCCTCAAATTCCTCTTTTCAGATTATTTTTTAATAATTTTTTTTACTTGAATTAATATAAGTAATAATATTAATTATTGAAGATATTAAAAATAGGAGAAAAAATTTGATTAAAATTATTATTAAAATTGATAGATGTCATTATTTATTCGTTTTTTCTACAAGTATTACTAGCTAGAAAGCAATTCTCTTTTTCGCCATTTAAGAATTGTCTAACGTCAAGGGACGTTACAACAGGACAAACAACTCGAAAGAAAGTGAAAAGAACAAAAACGAAACTAGACGGAAAGTTGACATCGAAAGCGCACGTGATCTGTGTATCGCTATTCTCTATGGATTCGATATATGAAAGCGAACGATTGCGTCAATGATTATGCACGCCTCATTTCGAAACGGTAGTAACTTATGTATAGAATTAGGAATTAAGCAGAAAAACATTACACTTTCGATTCCTGCTAGAAAGTTTTATAATGACAGCTAAACCGGTTTGCTAATAATTTAAAGACACGAAGAAATCTTACAATATCAAAAAATATTTCGATGAACAATTCATCATTATTGATTATTTTCTATCTCATCAGTAAAAAAATTATTAGAAAATTATAAAATAATTTTTTAGGAAATTTATTTGAATTAACACAATAATTTACTCATCTTTTAGACTAAAAATATTAACATGTATAAATTTTAATTTTAACTTGATAGATAATAATGTTATATTTTTAATCAACGTGCAATTTGTTTAAAAATTACTTTTTTCTTACAATTTATGGAAGAAAATGTTTGTTCACGGGTTATTTTGACACGTCCATAAACATAGAATACTTCTTACTTATTGTGTAACATACTGCTAAATTAAAAATTATTACCTCGCCATGGAAAGTGAAGTTACCCTCCCATATAAAGGGTGTCAGCCATAATTGGTACAAATCGGGCACGACGGATTTCGGTAATCTGACATCTATTTTTTTCTTTGCCGACGTTGTCGGAAAACCTCTCCCGGTTTGCAAAAACGGATTGTCAAGCAAATCGTCGCATTGCTTGACTTGTTTCTCCTCAAGGCAAGGTGCAAAATGATACACCAATAAACCGGTGGCGACTATACTAATTAGAAAAAATGCGCCCAAAAGAAAGGCACCACATCGCGAAATCGTACAGCCTCTTTTACGTCCAAACGTGGTTGTGTGCGCGTCCATCATCGCCAGAACCTCGCGGGACTGAGTCATATCATGCGTGAACCTGAAAAGAAAATACGCGCACTTTTTAGTACTCTCGTTTCTTTAATTCCTACTAATTATTGCATAATGCAATTTATAAATATATTAACACAATTTTTGTTATCTTACGTCATTAACCTTTCTCGCGCTTTTATGTTTGTTATTATCTAAATATGGGTTAATTCTAAGCGCAATTAAATAATCTGACAAATTTTATTTCAATGTTTTATTATTATGCTTAATGTTAAATATGACAAATGACAAATTTTATTTCAATGTTTTATTATTATGCTTAATGTTAAATATTTCAAATATCCAAGTAATCTTGACATTTTTATTTAAAAAAGAATTATCCTCAAATTTGACAAAAATTTCATTAAAGTTATCTTATTAAAGTTAAAAAAGAGATCAAAGTCTTCAAAATACTACAGAATCGAACTTCTTACTTCTGCTCAAATAAATTGCTCAATTAAATTAATTTAATAAAAAATTATCCTTAAATTTGACAAAAATTTCATTAAAGTTATCTTATTAAAGTTAAAAAAAGAGATCAAAGTCTTCAAAATACTGCAGAATCGAACTTACTTCTTACTTCTGCTCAAATAAATACCAAGAAATATCAAGTATATCATATAATTGTTGTGACAAATATAGCTATGACCAATAGTTAATTATAATTGTGTCGATACGTCTCACGTAAACGTGGTCATACAAGGTCGCATACATTTTGCTCAACAGTCGTATGAATAATCTAAAAATGGCAAGCTTAATACACGAGTCGGCGAAAGCGATAATAATAAGAAGATTCAACTGCTTTAAATGTATATATATAAGCTTATATATTGTTATCGCTTCAAGAAAACAAGATAAAGAAAGAAAGACAAAAATATAAGTCATTTGATATTTTGTAAAACAAACTAGCGCATAAAAGTCGGTCAACACTAGTTTTGCAAAGATAACACAATACTAACCTTAGAAAATATATCTGACGTTACCGCATTAACGTTAAAAGACAATGCTACACACTCAACTTCGACTTTTGTATTCGTTTTTGTAAAATCTTTTATTTATTTTAATTTATGCAAAAGGCATTCTTTTAACATGTCATTTAAATGCTTTATTTGAACTTTCTTCTGTCATAATTAATATTAATATATAAAATATGTACAGAATTTTTCAGCACAAATGCAAATATTTATTTTGTTTAACTTTTAACGAGAATATTATCCAGATAAATATTAATAATATTAATAATTGAGACTTTTTAATATTTTAATTGAATATCCTATATGTATCTTTCTTTCTTCAGACATTTTTCTTGAGATTTCTGACGATAATAATATATAAACTTGTTCATATATACATTTAAAGCGTATTTGAATTTTATTATCATAGCTTTAATTGTATACATTGTTTAAATTTGAAAATTGTAGCAATTATTGACTTTTAATTAATAAAACCCTCAATTAAACGCGTTAAAACAAAAGCAAATTCACGAGATCATTGTATCGAGAAAACTTTTTGTCGCGTATAAATCGAGTGAAGGCAACCAATCATTGAAAGTAATTTCACGTTCTAACCGCTTCGAGTGAGCGTGTCAAGGAAACACAAGTGACGTGCCTGAATTGATAAGGTTCTTGCACCGGCGATCTATCGTGAAATAATCTTACGACAATCACAACACATAGCAATCCTACGCATAGCAAAACAACAGTGTAATTTAAACGAAAGACGCTTGTTATGCGAATCTATGTGCGAATCGTGAATAAAATAAATAATTTTTTATAAAAATATCCAAAATAATTTGTTAGTTATTATACTAACAATTATAAATAAAAAAAAACATTTTTATGTGCAGAAGAATACAAAGGAAAAATTAATTAATTTTTATTTGTATAATTAAAATTCAAATTAATTTTTAACGAATCATCAACCATTATTATTAATTATTTAATTATTTGAACTTTAAATGAAAAAGAGTGCTGCCTCTTATTTCACCTTATATTTATAATCACCACTTGTTGTCACACGTTTTTCACTTCTCGATGATTTACTTTTTGTCCGCAAATTATTTGCCGTATTTGTTCTTCCGCATTGCGAGTACTCGCTAGGCAATCTACAAGTTTTGCATAAAAAAATGTTAAATATCTTTAAGAAGTCTCTAATGGCATCGTAATTTTCTTCAATGTACTGCCGTATCGACGAACTTTATGCGCGCACCTCGTGCTATTAATGATGAGACTTATCTAAAGCATTTATATTCCTGGGACAAGAAAGTTGATTGCAGATTTCCTGGAGACTCAGGTCCCATTATTGTCGCAAATTGCAAAAGACTTACATAAGAAAGAGTAAGAAGAGACGAAAAAGAGAGACTCTATATCGTTTCTTCGACTACACATATTCTCACCAGTTATTTTGTCTTGCCAATTTGTCATTATTCAAGGCTACTCGAGACATTTTGAAGGACTACAAATTCGTGTCGAAAATATCTTCTAACCTTTCCAATTCACTTTCAAGAATATACGAAGATCAATAAGCATATAAGTCTGATAAATTGTTTACTATTTTTGTGCAAAATTTTATTATAACACAATTAAATTTTTTTTTTATACAAGATGAAACTTTAAAAAACATCTACCGACTTGCTAGCAAAATCTTAAGTATCGAATTATTTATTTAGAAGATCTAAACGAAAAAGCTACAGTAATAATTCAAATTTCAACGATTCAAAAACAATATAATCGTATCTAAACATTTTAAATCTACTGTGAACTAATAAAAGCTGTTAAAAACAGCAAAGAGAATAAAATACACGTCATCGTCAGAGATAATACATCCTTTTTCTTCCGATAGTGTATTTCGTACTCTAATCGTTTACGTATCTATTTTGAAATAACAATATCGCAAATTTGTACAATTTCGCCGATGTCGAGACTCTGTCATTTATGTATATCAACGTATATTCGACAATATGTCTTAATTATCTGTGTTGTGTGCCAATAAGGTCGATCAATGCCGTGTACTTTGATTTCATTTAAAGCCGAACGCTAAACTCACGCCGTATATCTCTCGAATTCGTGGCTGCTTGAACTTCTATCCACGTCGTGCCATCGAGCACTAGTCGGAAAACAGAATCACCATCGGCAACAAAAGCACTCCACTCCGCGCGATGGTTCGCGCGCGACTGTAAGGAGCAAGGCACGATACAGCTTCGTCGCTTCCTCTCTGATCATCCAGGTTTCCTGGTCGCCACGATCGCAGTATCGGCTTCCATGCTAGTGCCCTTCCACCTGCCGGACGGATCACCTGCGTGCCGCCTTCCGAATTATCACGGAATACCGTACGTTTGGTTTCCGGTTCGTTACGAACGACATCGTAACGATCGATATCCGGCAAATCACGTTTTGTTCTTTCAGACATAAATCGTTCTAAATTGAAGGATGTTCTGTATTCTCTTTGGATTCTTCGATTGAATTCGAAGTTGATCTTTTCTTGTGATTATTTCCTTGAACGCTACTTTCCGTATCCTTGATTCTCGTAACGAATTTTCTTAAGGCTACTTCTTAAGGCAGTTTAATGAAATTTTATTTTATTAAAAACAGTTTTTATCAGCAATTGTTCACAGTAAATTAAAAATGTTTGAATTACTTTAAATGTTTAATTAATAGTTGTATTGTAGACTTTTATGTGAATGATTCAAAACGTGAGACTTTGCTACCTCTAACAAATCAATAAATTTTTCAAGTCAAAGTTCTAGTTTCAAAGTCCAAAAAACATTTAACAATATAAAAATTAAACATTATGTCACATTTACTCTACTTTTTTTTATTTTTATGTATTTTTTGACAGTAAAATATATATAATGAAACATAAGTTTCTGTATGAAGATTAAAAAACTCATTCAACAGTCGTGATCATACATAAGAATCTTATTTTTTTATATTTTTAATTTATAATTTAAATTATTATTTTATTTAATATATATAATTTATATAATATACGATGTAAAAATATTATCTTTTATTTGAGTATGCATAATACTTTGTATTACTTAATGATACGACAACTTTGATCATTTCTGAATTAAATCTCATGTACATTTTACCATCAGATTATTTCATTTAAATTTACATCCTTATCAAATGCTAATATTCTGTTCAATTTGCTAATATTCTGTACATATAAAAATTGAATTTTATCGTGCTTGCAAATAATCCAAGTGTTTTCTCCGAAACTACATATATAATTTATTTTATTCCTAGTGAACGTCATTTGTGGATACAACTGTTTAATCAACGTCGTATTTGCAATAAGAATCGCGAGGGGCAAAAAAGATACCAAAATAAATCGAGACACATGAAAATGCTTTGAATTTGTTCAAATATGAGGCTGCGTATATTTGCATTTATCGTCAGAAACAAAGTTTAGACTTAAGAAAAATATTTATGTGTGTAATTCATGTGATGTAACTTCTCCCATTTCAACTAAAATAAACTCAATAATAACTCAATTAGAACTCAATCAGAACTCAGAAGTTTTAAGTATCACACAAACATAGAACATCACAAAATCTCATCTAAAAATTCTCCGACAAATAAATTTCTCAAATCGTAATTAAACTATTGGCTCTATTTTTAATCAATTACTGACTGAGTATAAAATAATAAACAGACAAATACATGAATAAAACAATGCGCGGAAGAGAAAAACCGCGGAATTTAAACCGCAAAATATTAGTATCGAGATGATCAAACCGCAAAAATCAATGTCGCGAAACGATCAAAACCGCGGAAGACCAATACTATCGAATCATTAAAACCGCAAAAAATGAAAAGATTTATAGTATAAATACATCTTCAATAGGGAAGATAATAAGTCAAATTATACCTATATACATTATATAAGTACGTTTTCAAATAATATTTTGTTATTTGAGTTTATATTTTGTTTTTAATTGAATATATGTTTCAAATCAGAAGGCATTCAGCAAAAACTTTCTAATTAACAAAATATTTTTATGAG